TGATACATGATGAATTGTATTTGAAGTTGAACCGAGCAGTGGTTAGAATGATCATGAAACAGGTGCATATTGGGATTTGTTCTGCATGAAATATATGTATCATGCAACGGGTGCATCATGGAATAATCAACGTGAAACAATTTCATGTAAAAATATGTAAYGAAAAAAATTCATGTAAAAATATAATGAAAWACATTCATAGGTAATGAAATAATTCATAATGGATTTTGTTCGATATGAAGTTAATCTGCTTGTATGCAGTTTCTTACGTGAAAATGTTTCATTACAAAAYAGTTAAAGAAACGCATTCATGATAATGAAAATGTTTCATTACCTGTAGAATCATGCACGACTCTYTTCTTCCCCCTCTTCTTCATTTGTTGGTTAACGAACTCAATGTCGATACCTTCATCATCGAGCTCAACTGGTCTGTCTTTGTTGTTAGTAAACTTCGAAAAACTATGCATCTCCCTCAATCTATGGCTATAACGCCTCCGACCTGTGAAAGATCAAGGGATTACAKGCGACAATTAGATCCAAAATCACTGTTAGGGTTCTGAAAAATCGAAAACGATATGAATTAATATAACATACCTCCATTATTGCCGACCATTTTTCTTGAATATGCTGATGATCGATGATTTTGGAAACACTATATTCGATTGGGAAGAAGTGATACCTTTGCAGTGATTTGGGAATGTTCGCGATGAAGACGGGATTCTGATGAAAGACTGCGATTAGGAGCTTAGGAATTGTTAATTACGTTTACCATTATACCCTTATTGATTAAATAAACTGAATTTTTATTTTTATTTTTTTTTAATTTCCATAAATAAAGCCTACAAATCTTGACCATTGATCAAGAAAATGGATGRTTRAGATTGGTTCACACGGTTTACACAAACGGAGAGGGTTCGCATTTGAACGCTCCTCTATATATATATATATATATATAGAGAGAGAGAGAGAGAGAGAGAGAGAGGGGTTCATACAAGAATGATACCTATTTAAGAAAAATAAGAGAATGGCCAAATTACGTATAAAATCACATGTGGTTTTACATTAACGGCCAAAAAAGTGTACGGACGACCCTATGGCCGCGTGGCAAGGTAACATGAATCACATGTGATTTTGTAAGTGATCATAGTGTAAAATCACATGTGATTCAATCATTTTCTTATTTTCTTAAATATGTATCATTCTCATATTAACTCAACTCTCTCTCTCTCTCTCTCTCTCTCTCTCTCTCTCTGTGTATATATCAGTTTCAATAGAAAACCCTACACATATATCTGTAACCAACATGTAAATTTACATAATGAAAATTTTACTTCAAAATTACACAATCACACCTGTGTCTACATCAATTATGTCTTCAACCACAAGGGTGGTGCCTGATTGGTTTGAGCTTGGCTCCAAAGATCAAAAGTACCAGGAGGTCCAGCTTCAAATCCAAGAAGGAATAAAAATCCTCTTGTGGCCACGGAGGTTCAAATGTGTTGACTCCGGGTTATATGCAAAGCAGGTGATTGCCGTGGGATTAGTCGGCTCGCATAGCAGGTTGGATATCCAAGTTAATCAAAAAAAATTATGTCTTCAAATTTTACTCTAATTTATAGGGTCACAAAATCAACAAAGAAATCCAAGGTGTAGTCAATGAAATTAATAAACAGTTGGTGTTCATCAAACTTTCTTCATCTTAATATCAAAGAAATCATCAAACACTAGTATTCACAACCAAAAAGGAGATGGAAGAGAAAACATACCATAAGGGAATCGGAGGAACTCGAATCACAAAAATTGCTGCTTCAAGCATAGATTTATAGAAACACGAAAGGGGTAATACTGGAAAACGGAAGATGTTGCATGGGAAAAGTGATGGCCAAGGGATGGGCCTGTTAAGACGCAATCTAACTGAACAAGACCACGTCTAATCAAATAACTCCCAAACAAACAACGGTTTACTGAATAAGACCCTCATCTCATCTAGCCATCAAGTCCCAAACAAACACCACCTATCTAAATATTGGGTGGATGGTTGTGCTTATTCCAAGCCATCATCGCCCGCCATGGAAATGCCATTTTATCTTGAAGTAAGCAGGTAAAAGGGGAAGCCATACACAGAAAAGTCAATAAATTGATATTGGATCAGTCTAATGGCATGCTAATATGCCATTCTACAACCAGCAGATGATCTCATAGAAGTGCTTCGAACATGTTCATGATACATAATCCCTGGCAAACAACAGGTTACAAGTCATTTCTTCTGTAGATTCTTGATTTTCAGAAAAATGAGTGTTTTGCATCCGTTTTTTCTCTTTTCTGTAAAGCTCAAACTCAACAACTCTACCACTTTTTTCAAGACCAGCCAACAACACGTTATAAGTTCCAAGAGCGACAGGAATCCCTGCCTCCTTCATGTCTTTGAATGTTTGGAGTCCTTTAGAAGCATTTCTTGAAGCAAAGTAGGCTGCCATTAAAGCAGTGTAGGTCGTCGTGCTTTTTTCATTATCGGGCAACAAACTAAACACTTTTGCAGCTGAAATGGACCTTCTAGCACACCCGAGCTTATATATCAACAGTGCACTTTGATTAATTCCAAGAAAGATTCCGTCTTTGATCATTTCTTCAACGATATCCACAATTTTTGGGAAAGAATTCGTCCTAATAAACAAACCCACCAAGGAAAGATATGAAATTTTCTCAAAGTGTATCCCCTGTTTCTTGCCATACTCATAAGCCAAAACAGCACCATCAGGTTTATCATGAGCAATATATGCTTCAATAACTGAGGAAACAATCCCAGGAGTCAACGAAACGTTCTTGTCCATCATCGCTTTAAGTAAGAAGTCAACACCAACAAAGTGTTTTCTGGTCAAAAGATTTAACACAAGGCGTTGGTCTATGGAGTTTGTATCAGAAATTGTACCATCTAGGGGTTCCACTTTCTTGTATTGAATAGATAAATGACGATTTGATTCCTTGAGGAGAACATCGCTTTGCCCTGCACTTCTTAAAGTTTCAAGAGCTTTTGTATATACAGGTTGGCGAAGAACAAGCAAGTTTTCTTTCATATACTGAAGAATTTTCATCATAACCAATGTTTCCCCTGCTTTGCAACAATTTTCAACTAGGATGTTGCATGTAGCTTTATCAGGTTGTACTCCTGCTTCTTGCATCTTGATAAAGATCTCTAGGACCTCACCGAATTTGCCTGAAACCAATTGCAAAGAACTATAATTGCTCTAAGAACAATCTTGCATGTCAAAAGAATATGAATACACAAAGACTTCCCTACAAAAAACAGATCCAAGAATCTGAGTCCTAAGGCGGTAAGGCATATGCTTGATCAATGTATTATCAAAATATAAAATCAATTGATGGTTGTTTTAAAGCCAAACTTTGATTGCCAAAGGATGACAACGGTTAGTGAAAAGAGAGAAACTGGCACAACATTACTTGTTTCTGACATCTTGAGTCCGGATCACTTTAATATTAGATGCATACTACCAACATAAGCATTCATCATTTAAGTTAATTAACAGCTTTAACTGTAGCAACAATGAGGTACTTTATGCTAAATTGATCTTGATCCTGAAACTCTTGCTAGCTTAACTTATCTAGCATGTCAGCTGATCCAATCATGATTTTGATTTGCCTATCCACTTTGCCAATGTTTGGGTGATGGTATCTATTTACTGCAACTGTACTGCTGCATACACAAGGAGATACCTTATCCCCATATATCTTGTGTTATCTTTGTTCGAATTTTCTCTATATATTTATGCACACATATATAGGAGATAACATGAAGAGGGCTATTTTTAGAGGGCTCAATTGTATCCTTCACTATCCATCAACAGTTGTCATTAAGATAAACAATTATGATGAAATTCTACCACTATAGGTTATCAAAAGATGAACACGTAAAAAGATTTAACCATTTAACAAAATGCAAACCATCACACCTATATGCATAAATGTATTTAACCTAGAGTAGATAGGAAATAACTACAAAGCAGAAAATATAACAAAAGAAAACGATAATGCTAACGTAAAGAAAAATCACACTCACCACAACCAGCAAGATGCTCCATTAAGATGGTGTAAGTAAAACAGTTTGGTGGGCAACCAGACCGAATCATCTCCCTGTAAACTTTAGTAGCCTCCTTGACTCTACCGTGATCAAACAAAACCTTCATATAAGCAGTGTAAGAAACAACAGTTGGATAAAGTCCCTCATCTTTCATCTCCTTCCATAACTTCACAGACCCCTCAACATCCCCATCATTTGAAAGCCAATGCAACATCGAAGTATAAGTAACCACATCAACTTTAATCCCTTTCTCTTGCATTTGCTGGTAAACGAACTTCATCGATGAAATTCTCTTTGCTTCCCCAAAAATATCAATCATTGTGGTGTAAGTAAACTGATCATGCTTGAATTTTTTTAATCCAGATGCCCAATTGAAGAAAAGCCAAGCCTTTTCCATTGGAGGGTGGGTTTTGAGAACTTGATTGATTGTGTAAGAATCCCATTTAATGTTAAGGGCTTCCAGGTGTTGTTGAGCAGAATCCCAAGTTGAATACCTAAGTATGTTTGATATGTTTCTGATTGTATCTTTCATGTAGACTCTAGGGTTTACTACATTATCTTGGATGTATGATTTGTTAGTTTTCTTAAACTTTCTGGAGATTTTCTTAATGGGTTTGAATTGGGTTTGTGAGTGAAAACAACTAACGAGGGTGTTTGCATAGCAAAAAGGCGAACAAACACAAACACGCAAAATGGGTTTGTAATTTCTGAGAAATCGAAAGGTAAAATAAGAAGCAACCATGAATGTTAAAGCAAGGGGAGGTTTGAATCTTGGAGATGTTTGGCTTGAGTGTGTGTACCTGCTACTCCAGTAAGCCGCTAGGAGAGGAAAGAGGGGGTACGTGGAGGAGGGTGATTAACAGGTTACGGTGGTTTGGGTCTGGCCATGGGAACACGGCGGAGAGGAGAGGGGTTCCGTCTAAAAATTGTTCCTTTTTTCCTTTTCTTTTCACCCTTTGAGGGGTGGTTGTACACGAAGGTTGATCCCTTCCTTATTCGCTCAGCTGAAGCTGAAGCTGAAGAAAGGGTCTTGTTTGCATTCAGTCCACAGTGTTTCCTTTATGGGTTTCTAGTCTGAAATTGGGTTTTTTTGTTTTTGATTTTTTCTACTAGGCTGGGAGAAAAACCCAATCATGATGGGGTTCTTTGTTAACAAAGAATGAATAGGAAAGAAGCGAAAAGATAAAAAGGGTAGATTTATTAATTTGTATCCGGTTTATTCAATTCAATAATCGAACATCTTTTTAGTCTAATCCATAAAGACAATCAAATTCCCACATAAATCTTAACCCACATAGGGGTTGGGTGCTTGATTTTTCATTAAGTCATGTATGGATAAAGTATCTGTATCATATAGTTGTCTGTATGGATGGAACTAAATTGGTGTTCGGTTGTTGTGCTGAATAAACAATCTGAGTAATATAAATGACTATTTTACCCTTTAATTTATATTAACAATCTTTGTAAATAAAATTTTACAATAAATAACAATATTTGTAGTAACTTTTAGAAAAAGTAGTAGATTAAAAACAAATCAAATATAATCAAGAAACTCGTATCAAGAACAACAAATAAATCAAATATATTCAGTTGTTGAATCAAATTAAACCGAAATAAAGAAAAACCCAAATCGATGAACCCTAAATAAAAAAACCCCTAGAAAGGTCATAACCATATTTAAAAGGAGGTGAAGTGTAAAGCATTTGAATCTCTCCTTCATAGAAATCGAGGGTTTGAGAGATCTATGAGATAGGATTTCTTCAAGAAGGGTCATAACCATATTTTTGAGGGATTTTTCTTCATATCTAAGCAACGGATTTGAGAGATTTTTTAGGAGAAGAAAGCTAATTGCTGACCGGAAAAGAGACTGGCGAAAAGAGAAGCAAATATTTTAATGGTTGTTGGAGAAATCAAAAGTTTGGAGAAATAAAAAACGTCTGTAGAAATCAAGAGCTTGGCGGTCGAAGAAGCAAAAGTGTGTGAGCTTGGAGAAAAGTCGGTAAACCACAACTACAAATCGTAAACCTAGCTACATATCGAAAACCATAGAAGAAATCAGAGGCAGAGGTTGAAGAAGATGAGCACCATGAAGCTTGAATGGAAACTTGGAAGGTGAAGTGATGTTGGAACTTGGAGCGTGTAAAATAGGGGGGTTTTTTTTATGGAAGGGTAGTTGAGGAATTAATGGGAAATTAAATGGCTGAGTCTAAAGGAGTATCATTTACGAGCTGAGCAATTAAGTCATTTGCTTATCAAATAAGCCACAACTGAACAAGTATTTATGGTTGAGCGAATAAGTCATATAGGCTATACAACTCATTAATCCATAACCGAACAACCCCTTAATTGTTATATCTAAAATCAATTTTTGCTTTAATTTCCCTCACGAAACGTTTTCATCTTCTCTGCTTTCTTTATGCATTTTTTCAATATTAAAAATATTCATAATTATATGCACTGATAGTTTTTATTTCGTGTTCTACAATTCAAATTCATCTCTCGTGCTAACATTATTAGAGGAGTGTCCATTAAGTTTATCATGTATTCCTTATGTGAGGGGCAAAATAGTCTTTTAATATCAATCTCTTATTTTATTTAAAAAATAAAGATGAAAATAACCGGGGAGGCTAATGGCACCCCTATCCCTTATATAATGATGTGTTTTTTGTTTTCCTTTTGTATTTTTTTTTTTTGTCTTTTTCCTTTTTATACTGATTTTTTATACTTATTTTATTTAATTATGAATATATTACTATTATAAATATTATTTATTATTATGTAAAAATATTATTTT